CTCTCCCTCCCTCCTTCCCTCTCCCTCCCTCCTTCCCTCTCTTTCCCTCTTCCTTGCTCTCTAAAAAAAATCAGTGAAAATATATCCTTGGATGAGGATTAAAAAACGCACACACAAAAAACATTCTTTTGCCCACCCCTGTTACATATAGATTCATATAACCACCACCTTGGTCAGGATATAGGACAGTCTCATCACCCTCCCCCAAACTCCCTTGTACTCTCCCCCCATCCCTAAATTCTAGGAACTGTGATCTCTTCTCCCTCCCTTTAGTTTTATCCTTCTGAGAATGTCATATAAGTGGAATCATACAATGTGTAATCTTTTGCTATTGACTTTGACTCAGCATAATACTTTTAAGATAGCTTTCATCCAAGTTGCATGTATCAGTAGTCCATTTTATTTTACCCCTTAGTTGTATTCTGTTGTATGGATGGTATCACGTATTGCTTATCCATTTGAGTTGTTTCCAGTTTCTGATGATTATAAATAGTACTGCTATAAATATTTGTGTAGCCCGGCCGGGCGTGGCTCAGCGGTTAAGCATCGACCTAGGATCCAGGCGATCAGGGTTCGATTCCCGGTCAGGGCACATGCCCGTGTTGTGGGCTGCAGCCAATCAATGACTCTCTCATCATTGATGTTTCTGTCTCTCTCTCTCCCTCTCTGAAATCAATAAAGATATAAAAAAATATTTGTGTATAGGTTTTGTATGAACATAAATTTTCATTTCTCTAGGGTAAATACCCAGGAGGGGAATTGCTGGGTCATATGGTAAGTTTGTTTAACTTTATAAGAAATTGCCAAACTATTTTTCAGAGTGGCTGTACCATTTTGCATTCCCACAAGCAATGTATGACAGTTATAGTTGCTCTGCATCCTTGCTAGCACTTGAGATTATCAGTATTTTTTATTTTAGTCATCCTAATAGGTATATAGTATTACCTTATTGTAGTTTTAATTTGCATTTCCCTACTGCATGCTTCAGTTCTTGATAACTTTGTCTGTTGGGATCAAATGAAAGATAATCAGAAGAATCAGAAGAATGGTCATCAGAATGATATGCCTTATTAACATTTCTATGAAAGACTGAATATTTTTAAAAGGAGGTTGTGCTAATTAATGTTCATGGTTTTTCGGTGAAGTGTGAGGTACTCTGAAACCTATCTACAAAATTTCAAGGAAGTCCTGTGACAGTGAGAATGAAAGAGTGACTTAAGAGTATTTTTTTTCTGGTGGCCTTTGATCTTAGGTAGAACATTTGTGGCTTTTAATAAACTGAGAAGAGAGACAAATGGAAAAGAAAAATATCTAGTTATTCTATAATTTTTAAAAATAAGGCACATTAAGTGAGAAACACTTGTGATCAATCATGATCATGCACAGCATTTACTAATTGCCTATTCCTGGTAGCATAGGTCAGTGGTATGATTTTGAATAACTTGCTTATTCAGGGAAAGAATTTAGATAAGAAAAGGAGGGCATTCCTTTGAATATATGGCATTCAAAGGAATGCCAAACAAATATATGGCATTCCTTTGAATGCCATATATTTGTTTGGCTCCCTTCTACTTCTCTCTTCTTCATAAATTATCCAAGCAGCAGTCTGTATTATGAGAAGCAAACGAAATGATTGCTAAGTAAGTGTTTATTTTAGCTGGTTATTAGCTTGAATAAATATGGAAGAGTTTGTGTGTGTGTGTGTGTGTGTTTACACTTTCAACACATACTTGTTGATCAGTGGTATGTTACTCCCATTTTATGAAACTGAAATGTAATTTTCTTAGTTTTAATGACTGTAGAGGTTTATAGTTATTGAATCTTTGTTTTGGTGATAGGCATGTTAGTACTTTTTTTTTTCTTTTTTTAAAATATATCTTCATTGATTTCAGAGAGAGGAAGGGAGAGGGAGAGAGAGAGATAGAAACATCAGTGATGAGAGAGCCATTGATTGGCCGCCTCCTGCACGTCCCCGACTGGGGATGGAGCCCACAACCTGGACATGTGCCCTGACCAGGAATCGAACCTCGATCTCCTGGATCCTGGGTCGATGCTCAACTGCTGAGCCACGCCTGGCCGGGCGTCAGTACTTTTTTTGATACCAAGTTCTCAGTTAGGAAATAGCCTCCCAATTATAACTTGTTTCCCGGGGAATTGAGGCCATTTCCAGTAATATATTGCTGTAGAAGTAGACTGTCAAATGATGACTCAGGATTAGTATTCAGTGTAATTTAGAAAAGGTGACTTAAGTAGAAGAACATTGGTGTATCTGTTTTTCAAATTGCAGTTAATTATAACGACAGCTTATAAGATCTACATTGTTGTCCTTTGGGATTTTGTCAAAATTTACATATTTACATGATATGAGTTAAAAATGGACAGTTTAAAACTTAGTCAAATAAATTTATCAAAAAGAATCCTGCCTTATCAAATCATGCTTCTAAAGGTTTTTCACACCTTCTAGTCATATCCAGGTATGGCGTTTATAAAGCAAAATGATTACTTGAGCTTTTATCAGAGTTGAGAAACCCTATTTAGGTATGTGTCATTTTTTATTATATGGTAGTCTTATGGATATAGTCCTTTTACCCAACACATTTCAACTGCATTAAAAAGTATTTCTTAAGTATTCTTAAATCTATTTTACCAATATCTTGTGAAAAAAATATAATCTTTTGAAAGCATTTATGTTAAAAGAATTAGAGACGATGTTTATCTCATTTGGACCTGTTTCTCTTTTAATATATCATTAAAGTGTACGTATACTATATAAGAATTCATGCTATAGGATCAACTGAGACTTTGATTTAAATATAAGTTATACATGGAAGCCTGTATAAGATACTACATATTTTTTCCCCCAAAGAAGCTTCTTTAAATGGTTCTGTTAAGTGTAAGAATGTTCTGATGATTATCTTTTTAATTAAAATGAGAAATCTTTGTTTAAAGTGGCATTCTTTTTTTACGGCCTGTTACAGTCTCTGTAACAATCATTTCTTAAGTCTGAACGTTTTATTTCCAGGAATCCATTTATATAAAACTATGTTTAGACTTAATTAAGGAACAGTTCTTACAAAGCTTGTAAATAGCCAGGAAAAAAAGGACCGAAAATAAAACTGACATTCACATTTAACAAAATGATTGTTACAAGGTATGTAATAAGCTATAAAAATACAATAAATCCCTTTTTATAAGAGTTCATATTTTCTGATCCTTGTTTTTAAGGGTATTTAAGAAAAATATCAAAGCTCTGCAAAGTGACATCTGTTTTGCTGAATAGACTAGTGATAACTTCTTTTGTCTGTAAATGACAATACAGGAGTTCTACCTGTCTTCTTAGTGTATTTTCTTTGAAAAACCTTGTAATTATTTAGATTGGAATGTAAATTTTACATCATGCCATAGTGAAAACAAGACCTGGTTCTCTTCCCACTTAGACTACTTTCTAAAAGTCATAAAGCATGGGGCAAGTTCCTTAACTGCTCTGAGTCTCATTTTCCTCATCTGGGAAGTAGAGATAATAATCTTCTTCCTATTTCAAAGAGCTATTGTGAGGACTAAGTGAAATTATAAGTAATGAAAATATTTTGGAAATTATATAGGACTGTGAGCAGCCAAGCTATGTTTTTGTTGTGTTTTTTTAATCTCTCTGACCTTGGGTGGTGGAAGTAGTAGTAATAAAACAACAATAGTAATAGCAGCAAACACTTATATACCGTGCAGGAGCCTAGGCACACTCTATATATTAACTCATTTGATCTTCTCACCTTATTAGGTATATGTTATTATTCCTGATTTCCAAATGTGGAAACTGAAGCACAGAGAGGTTAAGTTACTTCCTCAAGATCATCAGTTGGTTTTGAAGAGGAATATGGATAATATCCATCTTTTTCCAAATCTACAGAAAAATTATGAGAAAAGCATAATGGTTAGTCATATACCCCTCATCTGGATTGGCCAATTGTTAACATTTTGCTGCATTTGATTTGTTTTCTCTATAGGATTTTAGAAAGTTATACTTCTGTTTCTAAATCATTTGAGAGTTGCAGACATGATATTTCACCTCTGTTTCAGCATGGATTTCCTAAGAACAAGAACATTGTATTTTATAATCACAATGCAAGATCCCATTCAGGAAATTTAACAGTAGCAATATTTTTATTTAATATGTAGTCCATATTCAAATTTCCCCAGTTGTCCCAGTAATATCCTTTACAGCTTTTTAAAAACACACACAATCCAATCACATGTTATATATATGTATATCTAGTCTCCTTTAATTTACACCAATTCCCTAGTCCTTTTATTTATGAAATTGACCTTTTTGAAGGGTCTAGGTTAGTTTTACAGACCGTGTCTCATTTGGATTTGTCTGATTGTTTCTCCATGATTAAATTCAGGTTAAAAAATTTTGGCAGGAATATATGTTATGGTTTCTTTCTCAGTGTGTTACATCAGAAGGTACATCATGTCAGTTTGTTCCTTTTTTGATGATACTGTTTGATTGTTTTATTAAGGTTGTATTCACCACATTTCTCCATTGTAAAGGCATATTTGTAATTAATGAATGCTCAGTGGAGTGAAACTTGGAAACTATAAATATCTTGTTTTTCTTTCTCCTTTGAAATGGTGACTCTTTCTGATTTGAGGAAGACATTGTGTAGACTTTATTATTTTTATTTTCATTTATTTTTTATTTTGAACTTAGACTAATTAAAATGTCTTTTTTATGTTCTAATTGGCAAGCTACATACTTTATAATTTTTATCTTTAGTGGAAAGCGCTGCTAGAGTTGCTTAAAGAATTGAGTTTAGGATTTAAGGGTTTGTAGTAGTAAACTGCATTGGAAGTTCCTGAAGGGGGTCTGTGTTTACCGTTCAGTAAGCCTGGGGTGAGGCCTGAAAATGTGCATTTCTGACTAGTTTCTAGGTGATGCTGCTGGTTCTGAGACCACACTTTGAGAACTACTGTGGCTTCTCTAGGCCTTTCAAGCCAATATCTTGCTTATGTTATTTGGGCCCCTTTTCTACTTGTTTGCTTTCTCTGGTAGACATGAGAGTAGTGTGGATATAGTATAGTAGAATAAGTTGATGTTTGTACTAGTTGATTTTGATAAATGTAACAAATTTGGGAATTGGCTAAATTACTGAATAGGATCTCATTAACCTGGCTAATCCAAAATTGACTGTTGTAATGAAAATGGCTGTAGGCTATTTTAAAACTTATCATGGCATTTATAGTTGTTGAATTTTCTTCACTTAATGAAACACTGATCCCTTAATTTTGACCACATTAGATGTCCAGAGTGGTCAGTTGGGCTTTCACTACTTAAGTGATCCCTGCATACATCCCAGCAACTTGATTCTGTTCAATCTGTGCGAGTAGTTAAGCAAGTGGCACATTTGTTATGTCATAGAAATACTTTTGCTTCTACAGAATTTTGCCAGTTAGCCCTCTTCCCTTGCTTCCCCCATTAGAAATACTGTAAGCATCAGAGAGAAAAGGATGACCTTAATATTTGCTTCCCAGACTAAATCATAGCCTTGAAGCAGTTATTTCCTTATGAATAAAAAGCTCAATTTCACGCCTTGATTAGTGCTGGTATGGGCAGGTGGATATTTATTTTATGCAGCTAAACTGATCTGTTTTTGCAAATTACTTGCCAGTCAGCAGAGCTGTAATTTCTTATGAGTAGTTGGTGATAAATTATAGTTCTCATTAGTAAGTCTTGTGTGTGTATTTTTTTAAAGTATGTATTTATGAGGTGAAAGTAG